ACAAGTTTGGAATACAGCATATTCCGCTCGAGTGAAGAGTTTGTCACACGAGCCGAAGGCGAGTTTGACGGTTTCACGAGAGCGGAATATGCAATTCCAAACGTGTTTCAGACTATACTTTTTCTACGTTTCCAAAAAATACCATAGAAAAATAATTTAATTGGAAGAAAGTGAGGTTGGATCGTTCTAAAATTTGTTAGATATTAAAAACAGAGATGTCGCCACGAGTGTTTATTCTGTCATCAGATGATTGAATATTTCATTCTGTAACACTTTACGGAATATATGTCATTCCATAGATAAAAGTGATATTAGAAGGGTCAAATTCCCTATTGAGTCATTCCAAATAAAAACACAAAATTGGGTGCGCTGCTTGATTTTTTATTTTGATAAAAAAATTGAGGATGATCTTTTAGGTATCAAATATGAAAATCCGTTGCCGTTTTAATTTTTGGATTCTTTACTTTTAATCGGCACCCTTTAGAAATCTGAAATCGTGTCAATTTCTTACTCTTATTGTGGGCCAGAACTTTTTTCTGTAACAAATATTGAATTGATTTTAATGTTGTTTTACTGTTTAGTAAGTGTGTTTTCGATAAAAATTATTATTATCCAATTAGTTAATCTCATAAAAAAATGGTAAACCACTAATTTAAAAGATTCATGATAATTTGCCAATTTTTGTGATTTTTATCTGGCTCCTGTGCCTATTCTGCTAAATCTAGAAAGTTGCTTCTTTTCAGGTATCAAGTACTTATACAATAGAAAACGGAACTAATATTTTAAGTTTCTAAACTATCATTTTCTTTATTAAAAAAATTATTGAAATTTGATAATTCTTAAAATTAGTCAATTTTGCCCTCAGAAATCATTATGTTGAGGAAAAAATAAAAATCTGAAACTTTCAGGAAATGTAGTCCCCACCTTCATCTTTTCAGTCCACTTAGTCTTGTTTTGTTATTTTTATTCCTTTAAAAGATATATTATTTTTTTTAATGCCCGTTTAGTAGCGATATTGTTAGTTTTATTTATAATTTAAAATTTAGATGGCTTTCATGTGTGGTACAGAAGTGTCAGAACTGTCAAAAATATTTCATAAATAATATTTGTGAGTATTTCTTTGGTAAATTTTTTATATAACATAATATGTCATATTATGTTATTTACAAAACTTTTTAAAATCACCAAAGGAATACCACAAATAATAATTATGAAATATTTTTGACAGTTCTGATATATTTGGTACTTGTTATATTTTATGTATTGTATAATCCTGTATAATCCTGTATATATATATATATATATATATATATATAATTTCCCTCATTATAATATGAACCAATCAAAAGCCTTGAATTATCGAATAAATTTCGTTTAAATAAGCGATTAAATCACTAGAACTATTTAACAGCGATTAAATTTTAGCCTCCATATTGGATTTTTGTTTACGATTTTATGGTGTTATTTACAAGTTTTAACAAACATTTTTTAAAAAACAATAAAAAATATGTTATCTAGTTTACGAAATATCAATTATTACTTATTACATACCTTAAATTAATGGAATTTTCTTAAAAAAAATATTTATAAATTTTGACACATATATCAGATTTTATGAAGTGTCAAATAGTTTCCTTTAATTCGAGGAATAATCTAGACGTATATCACTCAACCTATAAATTTAATCTGTCAAACTATGCTGAGTAAGTTTTTTATTTGATTTTTCTTCTAATCTAGACGTATATCACTCAACCTATAAATTTAATCTGTCAAACTATGCTGAGTAAGTTTTTTATTTGATTTTTCTTTTTGGAAAATAGTTTCATGAAAAAAAAATTAAAAATAAAACCCCTCGACCGCTATGCGGTCTCGTGATTTTATTAAATTATTTTGCATTCAACATTTTACAACAAAAACCAAACAAAAAACTACTGAGCCTAGTTTAACCGATTAAATTTATAGTTCTCGTGATATAATATATGATATATGTATCTTATATACATTATAATGAAGTATTTAATTGGTGTTTAAAGAAGAAGAATGTAAAAAATATATTCAAGATCCTTATGGTTTATATCGTAAAGTATAATAAGTGAAATTAATAAAGAGTTAATTTAAACGTATAAAAAATGCGTTAAGCAGTTTTTTGTCGGTTTCTTTCACAATTTAAACCAAGTTAGTCTTGTTCTATTATTTTAATCCCTTTAGTAAGGCACTAAATAGTTAAAAGTTATATGTATGTATTTTAAATGTTGGTGTTGGTAAAAAATGTACACAATCTGTAAATACTTCTTTAAATTTTAGTTTTTAGGTAACTGGTTAAAATAAAACATGTTATAATAAAGGGTTTTATTTAGAATATTTTTTGGTTTTTGCTTATTTTTAACAATTTAAAACTTCTCAGAACTTGAAAATTTTCTATGAGAAAGAGGTACAAAATTATGATATGTTCTTGCATTTTTAATTGCAATTAAATTCATGTCTCGAACACTCCGTCATTTATTACACTTGCAAACTTGCAAACTTTTTGAAATCACAATTTAAATACCACAAATAATATTTTCTTACTACCTCGGCCGAAAATACGTTGTTTCGTCCCCGATTCCACGGCAGAAAGTTTACGTTTGATGCATTGGTCAAATTTACGTTTGATGCATTGGAATCGGGGACGAAACAACGTATTTTCGAGTATATTACACTACAAGGGCTACGAAGGCTTCGCTCGTACCGCAAATGTCGGGGCATACATCAATATGTTTCGATATACACATTTAATTTTTTCCCGTATTTTCGGCCGTGTTGGGTTGGGTTGTATTTTCGGCCGGGTAGTAGGAAAAATAGTATACACTACACGGGCAGAAAGTGTGAGAGCCCTGAACTGCGCGCTATGATGCCCGAGGCGAAGCCGAGGGCATCATGGCGCGCAGGGCAGGAATCTCACACTTTCTGCCCTTGTAGTGTAATATACTATTATGAAATATTTTTGACAGTTCTGACATTTCTCTACCAAATATGAATTGAATAAGTCAAAGCCATCTAAATTTTAAATTATAAATAAAACTAACAATATCGCTTCTTAACTGCATTAAAAAAAATATTATATCTTTTACATGGATAAAAATAACAAAACAAGACTAACTAGACTGAAAAGATGAAGGTGGGGACTACATTTCCTGAAAGTTTCAGATTTTTATTTTTTCCTCAACATAATGATTTCTGAGGGAAAAATTGGCTAATTTTGAAAATTATCAATTTTCAATAATTTTTTTAATAAAGAAAATGATAGTCTAGAAACTTAAAATAATAGTTACGTTTTCTATTGTCTAAGTACTTGATACCTGAAAAAAATCAACTTTCTAGATTTAGCAGAATAGGCACAGGAGCCAGACAAAAATCACAAAAACTGGCAAATTATTACAAATCTTTAGTGGTTTACCATTCTTTTATGAGATGAACTAATTGGATAATAATAATTAATATTAAAACATACTTACTAGGCAGTAAAATAAAATTACAATCATTTCAATAATTGCCACAGAAAAAAAATTTTAGCCTCTTATAAGAGAGTAAGAAAATGAGGTTGAGGTTTCTAAAGGGTGCCGATTAAAAATAAAGCAACTAAAAATTAAAACTTCAACGGTTTTTCATATATGAAAATAAAAGATCATCCTCAAATTTTTTCATTAAAATAAAAATTTTTTGGTGTTTTCATTTAGATTGACTCTATTAGGAGTAGAAAAAGAATGTGATGCATTTAATGTCAATGTTAAATAAATATAGATTTACACTAGAGAACAATTTCTGAAGCTAAAATGCATATTTGAAATATATATAAAGGAGGGAAATAAATATGTCACAATATGTCTGCATTATTAATTTAAATACTGTGTGTCAAACTGGGAAATGAACAAGAAAAAAGCAAGAACCCAAGCATCACCTTGTGCGAAATATTAAAGGAATAATTCTCTCCTTTTTATTTGTTTAAAAATATGTGTATAATTATATAATTTATTACTTTTTTTATATACATACAAAGCGATACAAATCATTATTTTTTTATACCAAAATATTGTATGGATACATATTATTTAAGTTGTAAACGCGCAGAAGGACCTAGGTCAATAGCCCTTTGGATAAACCAATAAAGACTTTTTTATAACTGTATTACCTACAAAACTTCTAATTTAAATATTACCTACTACTACTATAAGTCTTAAATTAAGACTCTTAATAAGGTTATGGTGATATTTTTTTTAATTGGCCAAAATCACTGTCTTTGGCATTTAAAGAGGCAAATGATATTTCTTTATACATTTATATTTACTTTTTAATAAATCGAGATTAATTTGTAATAAAATATATCTTTGCTTAACACAACCACAATATTAAGTTTTTATAACCAAATTTAATTTACAAAATTGTTATCATAATTATCCAACCAGACATGGCAACAATTTACAATATTGCAATCATTCTATGACATTGTATGAATCTAACCCATATTATATTGGAGCAATTTTATACAATAAATTACCTGCACAATTTAAAAACTTTGAAAGAAACAAGTTTTTCTGCAAATTAAAAACTTTACTTTTAAGTAAGGCTTTTTACTCCGTAAATGAGTTTTAAGCCTTTAATTTTTTGGATTGTGTTGGTTAATTTGAGCTCTTTCATTGTTTTGTTTGTTTTGTTTTATTGTGTTAAATGATTTTTGACCTATCCTATATCTGTAAAAGATCTCTTGGATTAAATAAAATATTATTATTATTATTATTATTATTATTTATTTGCAAAATATTTGAACAAAATGTCCACGTCCACACCTGTTGCGCAACCACAATTTCAACTTTGAGATGATTTTTTTGTACTTTCTGATATGTAACCAATACAAAACTATCAATAATTAAAGGCTGACAGGCTTTGAGGATGTGTGTCAAGGGGAAGAAAAGAAATTGTGAAGTACATTCGCCCTATCTGTGTAAAACAATTTTAATACTTACAATTAATGTTGGTGTATTGCTTTCTCCTCTTCTTTATAAAATGGGTTTTGGTATGTGAGAGACTCTTTTCAATAACTGTAGCCTTAACTTGAACCAAGTCAGATTGAACAACTGGTGTTCCTATTAATGTAAAATCGGCCCCACCAACTAACATAACCTAAAATAATAATTCAACTTAAATAAATATTTTTCTAGTTATGCATATGTGCCTTATTTAAGTTAATTTTGTCACCAACATTGGGGTGCCAATATCCTTCTACTACAATAACATCCCCTTCAGTTATTTTAAACTGTTTTCCAGCAACGTGAACCACTGCAAATAGTCTTCCTTGCTTAAAATCCTTGACTTGTTGATTAACGTAATTAATTATTTCTGAAAAAAACCTTGATGTAAAAAATTATTATAAACTATTAAAATACTCACCATTATTTAATTTTTCCCCTGCTTTTTCATCAACTATTTCATAGGGAGTTGATGAATTTGAATATTGTTTAGAAGCCACATATGATATTGATGGTAGAACGTTGGTTTTTAAAATGTATTGTACGTTATATTTTGAAAATCGATTGCATTTTGTAAATAATTGCTTTATTAACCCTGACATTTTTTGAGGTTAAAATATTCTCAAAATTCTTCTTCTTCTTGTAAAATGACATTTCATACTTTTTCATTGGCTAAAAGTTTTATTTTATAAAATTTATAAAAAGAAAAAAGATATAAGTTTATTTGTCAAATAAACGTCAAATTTTACATTTGATTGATTTATTTCTTGTAAATTATGTTTTAATTTGTTAGAAATTAAACAATAAACCTTTAGGGATTAAAAATAAGATGGAATTAATCAAAACCCCCAAAGTAAGTTTTATTATGTTATTTCTAAACTGTTAAGATTATTTAAATTAATTATAAATGTTTACGTTTAATTGTAAAGATAAGATAATTTCATGCAACAATTTGTGTGCGTAAAAGTTAATTGATCGTATTTTTAATGTTTCAGGTCGAAAATGTTCGTATGTTGGATAGATACTCCAAAGTACCCTCACAAGGTACTTTATACAATACAGCAACCCATTTAATTTTTGTAGACCCTGATGCTAAAAAAGAAACATGGGTAAATACTATAGGACTTTAAATTATACTTAGAATATACTTATTACGAGACTAATTATAATTATTGTAGATCTTGCATATGCACATAGCTTCTGTTGAAAAGCTACCCCTCACTACCACTGGTTCCCCTCTTCATATAAGAACAAAGACTTTTCAATCTGTAACATTTGTTATACCAAGAGAAAGGGATTGTCATGATGTTTATTTAACATTGCAGCAATTGTCACGCCCTGGTAATGTTCAAGAATTGTATTGTTTTAACTACAAACCTCCAGCAGATGAATTACAAAACAAAACTTCTGGATGGAACTATTTTGACTTTCAAAATGAGTACCACAGAATGGGAGTTCCAAATGATCAATGGGTCTTGTCTACATTAAATAAGGAATATGAGGTAACACTAGTATATATATATATATGTATTTATTTAAATTTTTTCTTTCTATTAGGTAATTCATAAAGTGATATTGTCCGGGAGGCAGTGACGATTTTCGGTACTTATTTTCCCAGTCGGCAAACACCGATACAATTATTGGGTTTGTTATTCTGAGCAAAATTTATATATATTTAGGGGGGGGTTTTCCGATGAGTTAAGGCGGAAAATGCGTTATAAAGTACAAATATATTGCACTTTTTTTTTCAGTGATAAAAATAATTTCATTAGTGAGAGATATAGTGAACTTAAGAAAAAAAATAGTCTGGCTAATCTGTGAGTATGGGTAATATGTCTGGGAGGTGGAAAAATTATCAAAACCATTGCATTTTCGCAGTCCTAAAAATTTTGTGAGATGATAGTTTATATTATAATTACAGCTGCAAATATAGTCTGGCTAATGTGGAACACTCCGAAAGCCTTGCCAGACTCGTCCAACCCTCCACAGGCGCGCTAAATTCGGCATGTTTAATTATACAGGCGATTGTTGTCATCTCTACATGTGTTTACTTTTCACAATGTATGATAAGAAAATAATTTGTGTAAAGCAAAATTTAAATATGGCTAAAAAAAAATGTCAGTCCGTCCGCCACCAAAAAACTTTATTCGCGAATAACTTTGAAACTAATGGTTTTGATAACTTGTGAGTCTGGCGGGGCTTTCGTGATTGTAAATAACAGCCAGACGTGTATTTTCTACGAAATTATAGTATTATTTATCATGTGACAAATTTTCAAATCCGGGAAAATAAGAGCAACATTTTTGTAATTCTTACGATTTTCAAGATGCCGCCAGAACAATTTGCCAATTTCATAAATCAGCCAGACTTAATTTTGATTATAGTTTATGACAGTACCAAATAATGGGTTAAATTTTAAGCATGGGAAAATAAGGGCTACGTATTTCAAAAACCGGTCAAATTTTTGCTTCCGCAAATTTTCAGCCAGACTGACTTTCCTTCACTTGGGATGTGCCAGACTGTTATTTCCATTAATAAAATGACTCACTTTAATTAATGTGAAATATTTATGACTGGGAAAATAAGTGGACTTGACTTTTTGGCTCATCTAGTGAACCCATCCGAAAATTTTAGCCAGACACACAAATTGTCGTTTTGTGTCACCATTTGAACAAACTTAATGACATTCACAAACTGGGAAAATAAGAAGATAAAAATCTTCACTGCCTCCTGGACTATATGTTTAGGAGGGAGGCGTTTACCATTTGTGAAGAAGTAACTTAGGGGGAGTCTGGATTGTGTTATGTCACACAAAACAAATTCCTTCAGTAAACATATGTGGCTGTAGATATCACTTTCAAACTTTTGCTTAAAATTTGTGTGGATTTAACAATTATAAACATTAAATATTATATAGCAAAATTTGAGTCTTAAGTTGTTTTTTCATAATAACTAGGTACTATTATGTTATAATATTATAATGCAAAGTTTTCAGGTAACTTTGTCTCACAGCGTATTTTCCGAATAAATTTGGTAAAATATTTTTTTTTATTTGACACATGTTAGCAGCGACTTATATCATTTTTAACGCGCACCAATGCAATATAAACAATTCAAAAGTGTTATAACTCCCATTTATTACTTTGAAACTAATTTTTCGTTAATATAAACTACAATTGCTCAACTAACAGTTTAGAGCAACAAATTATATAATAATATATATTATATATAATTTGTTTATATATAAATGTTAATCGAGCGCAAAGAGATTTTTCATAAAAAGTTTAAAGTCACCTGAGGGCACCCATTTTTACACTAACAATATTAAAAATATTTTTATTTATTGATAATTTTTAATATTTTTATAGGTCTGTAAAACAAGTAAAATACATAGGTATTAGTGTGATCTTGGGGGTTGAGACTTTGTGACAATATGTAACAGGGGGGAGAAGGGTGTCTAAAATTTTCAAAAAATGTTTAACATACTTTATGAAAAACTTTTAAATTTAACACGACTGTGATCTGCAAACAAAATTTCCCGTTTTTGAGTATAAATAAGGATATAAGATAAACCTGCCAAAAACGACCCCATAGTAACTAATAAGAGAGTGTATTGGATTCAATATGTGTATTGGTACCTACTGCTTTTTATTGGGTTTTATATTTTCCAAATGATTTTAAGGCTAAATGGGAATTACCCAATCAAACCAATTCAAGTCAATTATTTTCTTCAATTGATACCAATTCACCAGATTTAAAGCTATAAACCCAATACATTACAACATAAATTCCCATTGGTTTCTATTGTTCTTAAAGGGGCATTTTCGGCAGGAAAGACATAATTAGATAAACTTTGAAATATATCTTTATGAATTTTAAAATAAAATTTATATAATTTACTAAGTAAAAGGTATACCTGGGGGCGTTTAGGTACACTGAGAAAAAAAATGGGACAAATAAACTGTGTAGCTAATACTTTTATTAATAGTGAATATATTGTTTATTACCTCTAAATAGTCGAAATAATAACGATAAATATACTTTAGTAAAACTTTATGTGTCGGGAATAAAAATATATTTAGGATAAATAAACTGTACCCTTGTCCCATATTTAAATATTTTTTTATTTGGGAGCAATAAACTTTTTTCTCAGTGTATTACATAAGCAAACTTGTAATGACTTTATACCTTCAACCCCCCTGTATAAGCGAAAATAGTCTTAAACTTTTTTTAAAAATTTAATGGTCCAAGCATTAAACAATAAAAATATACAATTTGTGTTGAAATTGCTCAAATATTGCACTTTTTAACATCCTGTTCCGTGATGAGGCATGAAACAAATGTTTTTTTGGGCTTTCCATCAATGATTTACACCCATATGTTAGCTAGTTTGAAGCAAAGAATTTGTTACGAACTTCTCGCAATTCCACAAAACTTTGTCGCTGCGCGCTAACTAATCTTAAGGGTAGGGATATAAAAAACATTTAATTTTTTTTAAAACTGCTATAGTAATAATTATTCATAATAAAGTATATTGTGAGAAAATGGAGTATTTTAAGAAGGGGTGTGATATCAATCACTTTTGAAACAGCATCCAATATGAAATTTAAAAAAACTCTTTCACTAGTGAACCTATATTTATAATTATAATTGCACAATTAAGTGAAATATATATATTATATTATAATTACAATTTTCAATTATGGAAAATTAAATATATTTTATAAAATATATTTAATTTTCCATAATTGAAAATTGTAATTGAAACTAAAAAAAATTATTTCTTATTATTTTTTAGTTTCATCATAAGAAAATATTTTCTATATCAAATAAAAAAAGCCTTTATTCATCCCAGAAAATAAATCACATTCGTTTACATAGGGACACTGCTACTACATAGTCATAATTTAAATAATTTATTATTATTTATATACAGGGGGTCACCTAATTAATTGTCATCCCTTGGGGAAATGATAATACACGTCAAAGTAAGTTTTTTCTTAAATTAAAATTAACAAAAAGCATTTGATTTTGGTTTTGTTGCATTAGCATCAGCTATAGTCAAACGAAGTATAGTCGGCCCTTTAAAATTATCCACAGCAGACTGATAAGAACCACAGTTAAACAACTGGCAGAATTTAATTAGTCTGTCGACCCTAAACGCATACACCTAGCAGTAGGTTAATTTTTCTCATTTTTTTTTATTCAAAAACAGTAGCACTAATGCAAAAGTCATTAAGAAAAAACTTGCTTACTTTGGCGTGAACTATCATCCCCCAATGGATTATATAACACCCTGTATATTTTATATTAGCAGTACTGAATTTTTCTCATTTTTTTTATTCAAAAACAGTAGCACTAATGCAAAAGTGATTAAGAAAAAACTTGCTTACTTTGGCGTGAACTATCATCCCCCAATGGATTATATGTATATTTTATATTAGCTGTACGGCCATTTCAAGCGCGCGAAACGCTTGAATTACAAAACTGTTTTTATAAAAAAAATTGTAGATTATTTATTATATAATATTTTGGCATCAAAATTGGCAAAAATATTCTTCTTTTATTATGTTATACATTAAATAAAAAAAACTCAAGAAATATTTTATGAAAGTAGATATAATTTTAATAATTGAAAGGTGTGGACGGGACAAAAAAAGATTTCTCTTCACCCGTCCATCCCTGTCAATTATTGAAATTATCTCTACTTTTATAAAATATTTCTTGCGATTTTTTTTATTTAATGTATACCCTAATAATAGAAGAATTTTTTTGACAATTTTGATGCAAAAATAATATATAATAAATTAGCTACAATTTTTTTTTTAAACAGTTTTGTGATTTGTCCCGTCCATCCGCTTGAAATGGCCGAGTACTGAATTAAAATACATCACAAACACATTATCATGGATATTGTGAAGAGCGATATTTCACAAACTTTGATTTTTTTACTGATACCAACAGGAAACAACTGTGACCAACTTATACAAATAACAGTGATTTTACAAAGTCCTTACTTTTCAGATTCGACCATGTTATCGTAAAATTAATTAAAGGCACTTGCTTCTAGCGACAGATGGTCGTTATAACGGTATAAAGCAAAACGAAAGTTGTGATCACGTCACGTTTTAAAATCACTGATATAAAAAATCACATTACTCACAGTAATCACAGTACTGTAAAACTTCTACATCACATCACATACATGGGTTACAGTAAAACAAAATATTAGTTTTAACAGAAAAATCCTCATCCAGATGTTTTAAGTTTTTTGTACAAATTCAAATCTAAAGAGGTTTAAATATTCAAGAAAGTTAGCTATATATTTTTATTAAATAAATCTAATTGTTTGCTTGATTGGATTAATAAAAGAAAGTATATGATACTGTTTGAAAAAAAATCATAAAATGTAAAAAACGGTAAAAAAAACTGAAAACCTCGACGGACCACAGTTTGTAGTTCATTTTATAGTTAAAAATGTTTTTATTAACATAAACGTAAAAACCTTTTCGGACACACTGTTTTACATAATTTTAGTTTAGTTTAAACCACAATCCACATAACATATGTTTAGTTTAAACCATGTTCTATTCGTAAACACAATTGTTTCAAGCCGTTAAAAAAATTTTTACGAATTGAACATAGTTTATGTTTTGTCAATTCTCCTTTATTTCTAATAAGAAAGAAATAAATTTTAAATTCTTAATACAAAATGTATTTGTTTATAAAAAATTTAAAATATTTCCATTAAAATTTGTAGATTCCCAGCAAACACATAGTCTGATTATGTAATGGGCCCTTACATAGTTTCATGGCTTAATAATGGCACTTTTAGCCAAACTTTCCTTGTACTGGGCCTTTACAGGCATGTTTTAGCAAAAATATTAATTTTTATAAAAGGCAGTCGTGATAAGGTCGGATAGGCCGGATACCTGATAGTTACTGTATATCTGTTTCATCTTTAGTATATACAAAAAAAAATTATATTTTTTTAATAAGTTTATTTAAAATATTCTCGAAAATATCATAACAAAGTTAATAATATTGACATTAAAATTTAATTTAATATTACCCTGCTGAAAACAACAGGCATGAGCGGCCAATTGACAGATTTAAAACCGGACGAAAGCAGATAAAAATCTTCCTATACCTGAGTTATGCCCGCTTTGCTATATCCGCGAACGTCCCGTTTTACCTATTTTTCATCCGATTATTGCATTACCGTCAATCATCCACAATAATATGATTATGCCTGACTGTAGTTATATTTCGTCTACATTGCTTCGGTTTTATCCACAATTGCCTGTTTCCGTCCGGACAAAACAGGCTTACATCCGCGGATGTCGGCTACATCCGCGGATGAAATTTTTGGATGGGTAGACAAATATATGGTTAGATAAAAAAGAGTGAGTTTTCTATTTTACCTATTTTTTGGGACTGGATTATAATTAAGTTAAATAATGAAGTTCAGCGCATAGGCATTGTCCATGGTTCAACGCAATAAAATCAGCCGACCTTGTCGGCAGGTTATTCGTTTGGTTTCGCCAGATCTCGGGTTAACCCACACGAGACCAAAAATGCAACCTTCTAATTGGTTCGGCTGTACATACATTTCGTTCATGTTTTTCAGCAGGCTACCAGTCATAAAAAAAAACAACCGCGTCAGAATATCAGAAACCGGAATTTTTTAAAGTAATGAACTATCTGATTTAATTGTTTTTTGCTCTTGTAAAATGTTTTTTGAGTTAATATATTTTGCTTTTTAATAATATTGTTCTTGAATTTTTTAACCAAATCAAATGCCTGTAACTTTTTTATAGTAAAAAGTGACCAAATAATATTTTTCGAATCGAAACTAGTAACCCTGGAATTCTACTTGGGGTACAGTTGTACCCCAGCCTTATTTAAAAATCCCGCCAATCGGAAATAGATGGAGCTGCGGTCGTGGCCTCCTGAGTAGTTTCATCCTAGGTTATGGCAGTTCATGTGTGATATTGATAACTTGCGGTGTATTTTTCATTTTTGAGATATTTGATATAAGATGTACGGGTGTAACCCAGTGCAGCATAAAATAATAAATAAATAAAACTTGTTTTTTCTTGTAAGTATACATTTCTTCAAAATTATTAAAATTATTATTATAGTTTCATAAATTATGTTGTTTTTAAAAAAAATATTTTTCAAGGACACGCAAGAAATGGCACCAAAAGAAAATATGTCCAACTTGTGCCGAGTAATAAAATAAAATATTTTTGTAAAGAAAATAAACATTTAAAACCATATTTAATATTGTTGTTGTGTTATGTAAACATGTATTTTTTAAAGCCATATATAATACAGTTGTACCCCAAATAAAAAATAAGGTATTATCTTATTTTTTATTTGGGGTACAACTGTACCCCATGTAGCAGATTAAGTTTGGAAAATAAGTGTAGCAATCCAGGGTTAAGATTAATGCATTTAAATCCAGTTTTTGCAGTAATCCCATATTATAATATTATTATGTTTTAAATTAAAACGTTTTTCAGTTGTGCGACACGTATCCCAGGCATCTATACGTGCCGGCTTCGGCAAGCACATCGACTCTAATCGGCAGTTCTCGCTTTAGATCGAAAGGCCGCCTGCCAGTATTGTCATATTTGCACTACAACAAAGCCAGCATTAGCAGATGCAGCCAACCGTTATCAGGATTCAGCGCACGTTGCTTGGAAGACGAGAAAATGTTGAATCACGTATTAAAAACTAATCCGAACGCAACGTTTATGTATGTGGTTGATACAAGACCAAAGGTATAGACGGTTGTTTAATTATTTGGATTTAATTATTAATTAAAATTAATTTAAGATTAATGCAATGGCTAATAGAGCCGCCGGAAAGGGCTATGAAAATGAGGCATTTTATGAGAATATCAAATTTCATTTTCTTGGCGTCGAAAATATCCATGCTATGAGGAACAGCCTTTCTAAAGTAACAGAAAGTAAGTATATTAAAAATAATAAAATAATTCACTTTTGCCATTAATATGAAAATAAATAGGAAAAACTGTCTAGATTTTTAAAACTAAAAAATAAAAAATGTTTACCTGTGTTTAACTTAAGGGGCTAAAATTGTAGCTTGGAATTGTTATTTTAAAGTATCTAATCATAATTTTATTTAAACGAACCAACCTCAAATTAAAAATTGTAGTACACTTGTTTATTTGCAATTCAAATAGGTACTTTAAGACAAATTATACTTATTTATTTAAATTTTTTACATACCCCAAGTAGCATTATAGTAACGAAAACTGATATCGCCACTTCAAATGAGTGGCAATAACGTTAAAATAACTAAATCTGCCATGATACAATTGAAATATCTCCATATTATATTAGCATAGTTGTAATCATGTGATTTGCACCAGCAGATTATACTTCATAGTTTTATAACTTTTTAGTGTATTAGTCTGGTATCTGAAACGTTATGGCCACTTTTGCAACCACGTACGTAAAAGTTGTCTAAACTTTAAAGTGGATTATGAATAGTAACGGCAACCAAATCACATCACTTAAGTATTACTTTGAAGTGGTAGTAGTAGTTAAGTGGGTATATTAGTTTTGGCAACATTTTCGGAACTTTTCCCAAACCTTGAATGTGGCAAAACTTGATTATATAATTGTGGTGATTGCCACGTTCTTGCTATTTGCTTAAGTGATTTTCACGTTTCTTATATGATTACCACTTTAAAGTTCCCTTCCTCAAAAGCAGATATGTTTACAAATAATATATATTGTAGAAAAATAAATGTGTTGTTTTAAACAAATAATTCTGGTTATTACCGCACCAAATTTAACACGTTAATACATATTTATTGGTTTCAGGTGAGTTTATAGATTTTTATATTCTTTTTTATTACCACATATTTCATCGGAGCGTGCTTATAATTCAAGCTATAAAACCCATGTTTGACAGTAAAATTTAATTCATGGTAATTTTATGTCTTTGGATTATTTTAATTTTAGTTGTTATTTGCAAGTTGTATTCTTACAATATTATAATTTTATTATTCAGTGTTTAATATCCAGTCAGATAAAGCAAAGATAATAAGATAAATAATATGCTAGAAAAAGACAGGGATAGAATGTAAAGAGTAGTAAAGTTACAATTAAGTTTTGGCCACTATTATACCACGTTGTGATTACGTTACTATAACGTGGAGGTACAATACGTAATCACAACGTGGTATAAACGTGTCTATGAAATTCAAGAACATTGTTGGAACTTAACTGACACTAAAAAAGTTTTCCCCATATTATTCACTTCCACGTAATAGAACCGTTTTTGGCCATACACTTTACAGTTCCAAGTTTAAGTGGCCAACACGTTTTAACCACTATAAATGCTACTAATGTGCATACTAAGAAAAAAAAATTGTAAACATAACAATACTCTGATTTGATTTTGACACCAAATAGTAATAAATACGAGAAGGGTATCCTCTTCCTCGGAAGTAAGAAAGTTAGGAAGTAGCAGAGCTGTCAAAGATACTTTTAAAAAGTATCTAGATACAAGATAAGTTACTTTTTGAAAAAGTATCCGAAGTTACTTTGGGTATCTAGTTACTCTTTAAAAAAAGGAACTTAAATACTTATCTTAAGTTACTTTTTAAGATACTTAATAAGATACTTTTTTAGTTACTTTGTATATTATGTAATAAGATACTTTTCGGTATCTAAGATACTTTTCGGTATCTAAGATACTTTTTTAAGTTACAAGATACAGTTCCTTTTAAAAAGTATCTAAGATACTAGATACTTTTTGTTAAAAAAATAAAGGAACTAAGATACAGTAACTTAGATACTTTAAAGTAACTAAGTTACTCTAAAGTAACTAAGATACTTTTTTCTGACAGCTCTGGGAAGTAGCCCTTTTTTCTCATTCCCATCACTCCCTTCTTTTTAAATTTTTTAACACTTAAAATTGAGGTAAGGTATCTGTTATTTTCAGTAGAATTGAGAAAGATGACCATATTACGGTACAATTATGGTATCATGGTATATCAAAGGTACCCGTTCAAAAAAATCGGCCGCAATTCAGCTGATATCGCCAAAGAATATCGGGCCGCAATACGCAACGCTTTTCGTTGCGGCCCGATATCCTTTGCCGATTATCGGCAGCCGATATCGGCCGATATCAGTTGCCACTCTCTATTGCAAGGCTCAAAATCGTGTAAATATCAATAAATAAAAATACTTTTTGAAAAGTTGCCGTAACTTTAGTTCTAGTGCTCCGATCTTGATGAACTTACGAGGAAATATTTTCATTTTTGTACCGAGTTTTATAATAAAAAAAACCAGTATTAAAGTCTTTTTATATAGGCTTATGAGAGTCAATATGAAAAATGAAGCTAACATATCATCTCAGTTGAATCTAACTCATAGAGTGTTTATTTCACTATGCCCTAGCCTAAATATCGACCCATGCAACGAAGACTATAGTAACTCAAAAAACGTGGGTTTTGACTTACTATATGGCATCAACAGATTTTTTCAAGCTCTATTTGGTGGAAGATTACAGTAACTCAGACATGAAACGATAGGCAACCAGTGAACAACTTCCCTGTATAGTAAGTGTAATAATCCACATTCCTACAGGAAAAAACTATATTACGTTGAGTTACTCTAGTCTACAATCAAAACTGAGTTACAATAGTCTTCGTTGCATGATGTGACAGAATCTTAAAGAAATATAATTAACGTTGTGTCCCGAGGCGGGACTTACAGTGAATCGGTTATAGCCTTATAACATTGGTATTATGCCGCTCGCAATGCATGCAAAAGGTACCGGGTTCGACACTTGCATTAATATTTTAGATTATATACTGAAGACTTTAGTTGGAACGTGGAACTTGAAATAATACTTTTATATATCCGATTCCAACTTTTATTATTAAAAGTTTTAATTACAGCAAATTAACAAACTGTTTTTATTTGTTATTTTTTTACTATGACAATAAAAATAAGTACTACTTGATATTTATAAAATAAAAAATAAGATTTAATTGCCAAAACCCAACATATACCCTTCCTCATAATCATTTTGCTACGGTATTATCGTAATATAATATATTATTTAATTAAATGTATTTAATTAAAAGGACTATAATAGTATTTTGTCAAAAAGTGTTGTTGGGTGTTTTTTTAGTTTTATTGTAACAATTAAATGAAATTGTAAAATTAATCGGGATCGAACTTAAGTCCCGCATCGGGATACACACACACACACAGGGATAAATTGAATGCTTGAAAAAAAAGTAAATAAAACCCGGCGGCGAAAGCTTATTAATTTCCTCGCAAACAATCTACAGTGAAATGTATGATTGGCAATAATATTAGCTTTCTTCGCCTGTTCTATAATGTACATTTTCATGATATTTGCAGCTTGCGAATAAATAAATCCGAAAATGAACTTCTTTTTATAATATTAGCTTTGTCCGCCTGATCTATAATATAAAATTCCATGATATTTGCAGCTTGCGAACAAAGAAATCCGACAATGAACAGCTTTTTAAGTGGCTTAGAGTCCAGTAGTTGGTTAAGACACATAAAATCCATTTTGGACACTTCCCAATTTATAGCTGAGGCTTTGGAAGAAGGGATTAGTGTGGTTGTGCATTGCTCAGATGGTTGGGACAGAACCGCTCAAGTGTGCTCATTGTCTTCTTTATTAGTTGACCCGTTTTATAGAACTCTTACAGGATATCAGGTAAGAAATTTATTTAAAACAAATCCACTTTTTATTGTTGTTAAATCGACATTTTGAGCGAAGCATGGTGGCCTATTGTTACTAAAAACTGTATAAATCAAGACCAGTTTTCTCAAAATAATTAAGTTCTACCCAGCACACAAAAATTGTGAAAGAATTGGCCAATGTTGACGCAATTTAATTGAGCAACATAACCATCCAATAATTGGCCAATCTTTGGGCAGTTTGTATGAATTTCAATATTTTTATAATCAAATTATGTATTTTGGCAAATAAAAACAGTAAAATTCTTGAACATTACCAAAATTATATTTATTGCTTAAATTTTATAGATCTTTTATAGATTAACTCGATATTTTCATACATCCAGAATAGGGGTGTCAATACCGAGCCATATTTCCAATCCCGGGACTTTCGGGGCAAAGTAAACTAATCAGTAATCTATCTTAATATTCTTCAACTTCAACAACATAAACCAGACTTCTTATTTCTATCAGAAACATGGCTCTATGAGGATGAGGCCTAATATATATAGATAGATATAGATCTTGTCCATAATGAGTGCAAAGAAAATAACATCCTTGTAGATAAAATTAATAACCTTAATCTTAAAATAGGAGCTGTTTATAAAAGACACAAATCGAAAACTGAAAACAGCTGGACAAAACATTTAATGAAAATAAAAATCTCCTCATGATAGGAGCTGTTTATAAAAGACACAAATCGAAAACTGAAAATTTTCTAAAACAGCTGGACAAAACATTTAATGAAAATAAAAATCTCCTCATGATGGGTGACTTTAATATAAATCTACTGCAAAAAAATCAAACTCTTATCGGTATAAAGATAAAATACTATATATGCAATTACTTCGTGAGAATGGAATTAAAATTCTAAATAAATTATCTGAAAAAAATGCAGTACTATCGATACCGGCGAAGCGAGTGGATGTGTAGTTCGAGCGCTCAGTGCCGATCCACAATAAAATTCTTAAAGAAACAACTATTATATACAGTGTAGTCGAGTAAAGTGAAATCAGGGTACCTGTTCTCCGAGGGGTTAATAGAAACATTAAATAATTCCTCAAAAGGCAATCTCTCAACGGTGAACATAGGAGTGAGGTTCGTGCGGATACGAAGTAATAAAGTGACAGGGGACAGGTCAAGGAATCACCTATTTAAAGAAAAAAAAAAGTTTAACAAAGAGCGAAAGGGATCATCACCATCACCAGCAGACTCTGATAAGTATTATTGCATGACCTAATACGCAAATCTGTAAAAAAAAACCTGGCAACAATTAACCATTGCCGAAAACAGCGTACGTGTGTGAAAAGGGGATCAAGCAGGAACGTCGCAATATTATATTATTGTATTATATATATTGTATAATATACGCAACTTGCAGCTCAGCCACAAGGCAAAGCTTGAAGGATGGCGAAGGTAAATAAACAAAGCGCCCACGCAAATAACGTAAATAAACCATCTATTGAAGCATACGTTACACGCCTGACACTGGGGCCGTATTTCAGATTTTAATGCGATGCACCACAGGATTTATTTATTTTGTATTAATTTAGTTTTAAATTAAATTTGGAAAAAAAAGTAAGAACGCAAAGACACAAATTAAATAATAATAAACGGTATAAACACCAATTTAACAACAAAATAAATAGTTCACCAACCAGGACAGGTTCTAGCAGCGTACTAACACCCCGGCTCAAAAATACAAGAACAGCACAGAAGAAAGAAGAACGACCAATAGCCAATGCAGACCATATGGTGGCATTCCACCACATACACTACAGGGCCGGCTTTATCGATTTTGTATATTAATATTTATATTTTTAAATTCAATTTAAAAAAGTAAGAATGCAAAGATATAAATTAAATGAAAACGGTATAAACACGAATTTAGCAATAAAATAAATAAAGAGTATACAAGGTTGGTAGCCGGAGTAAGCAAAGAACTAACATACCCACCCCCATTCACGAATACCAATTGAATGGGTTTACTTAGGCCTAGGTTGAGGAGGATTCCGGATTGTACGCATTCATGCTCACTAAAATAAGAAATAAGAAATAAGATAAAAAGTTAAAACTGTGTAAAGTAATGGTTGCGTTCATGCTCATGAAAATAAGGAATAAGAAATAAGAATAAAGATTAACAAATTTTAACTTTGGTTCTTATTCTTGCGTATAAAACTGCGCAAAGGACCAAAATGGGTCTGTGAATTATTTTGATGGGTTTTATGTGCTGGCCATGGAGCCATAGTGTTGGAAATCGCGTTGAGTGTCGCTGTCGATTGTTTACGTTTATAGCCAATATAATCCATTATAATAGAATATTATTGTGTGACAACATTTTTTATTTCTTATGTTATCAGCATGAACGATCAATCGCGATCTTATTTCTTATTCCTTATTTCTTATTTCTTATTCTTATTCTTATTTCTTATTCTTATTTTAAGTGAGCATGAATACGCCTTTAGTTTTGGGTCAGTTCAATTTCCTCCAAAAACCCTTCCTAAACTGGACGTATGGCCCGACCCGGCTGACAAAAATCCGGGAGCGGCCTTAACCTTTGACACTGTCATCCACGACCTCCTAGGGTGGAACTACCAGCCGGCGTAAAACTTCGGATCCAACAAACACAGGTAATGTTGTGATTTGGCGGGATATGCAGGAGAACGGAAAGGGGGTAAAATAGCCCCGGGAGATTAGAGGATGACAATATATCTGGGGCCTGCCATACGTTCCCATACTCATACTCACTCATACTCATAAATTATCTGAAAAAAATGCCCGGAATAGATATAGTAAAAGGAACAAAAACAGTAATCGATCATGTTATTACAGACTTACCCCTATCAGGGCCTCTTAAATTACTTAATCAACATTATTCAGATCATAAAATGATATCATTTGATTTTGATGCAAAAATTATCTGGCCAGTGAAAGAAAAATAAACGTATAAATCCAAAATAGTAAACTATCAAAAATTAGATAAAAGTTTGTCTAACTACATTCAGACTGTAGGAATATATAATTTTGAAGAACTTATTAAGGTGCTCAATAACAAAATACAGGAGAATACCACATCTAAAATAAGAACTTTTACTAAATCTACAAAAGAAAGCTGGTACACAGATAAAGTAAAAGAAAAGGTAAAAGAAAGGGATAAAATGTATATAAAAACCAAGTTATTTCCAAGGAACGTAGATTATGCAAGAGAATTCAAAAAATTACAACAAGATTTAAAAAAACTTATAAGACACACTGAGAGGGTTGGATAACTCTAATGGGATACCCAAAAAACAGTGAACTCTAATTAAGGATTTAGTAGGAGAAAATAATATTAGAACAGATTGCTCAAAAATAATAGTTAATAATCAAGAGATTACTGATCAAGAACAAATAGCTAATGAAGCACGTAAATACTTTATATCCATCATTAAACCTGCAAAAAATAAAAAATGCACACTTAAATATAACTCTGACCAATCGATTTATCTGCAAGACACAACAGAGACTGAAATAACATCAATAGTAAAAAACCTAAAAACGAATTCTAGTCCAGGGCATGATGGAATAAAATCTATTGTTGTTAAAAAATTAGTGAACACTCTGGCACCAGTAATTACAATAATGATAAATACACACCTCAAACAAGGAACATTCCACGACATGTTAAAAATTGCTCGTGTGATCCCAGCTCACAAAAAAGGAAGTCTTCTCGAAAATTTTTTGAGATAGTATTGCACAAGAGACTACTAAATTTCCTGGAAAAAATTAAATTTCTGAGTACTCAACAGAATGGCTGTCAAAAGAAAAGAAGCACTCAAACCGCAATCATCAACCTAACTGAATTTATATATAAAAACCTAGATAGGAAAAGGTAGTAATGGCTGTGCTTCTAGACTTATGCAAGGCCTTTGACGTTGTGGATCCGGATATTCTGATGAAAAAACTCGAGACCCTTGGAATAGATGATAGAGCACTTAAAATATTCACTAGCTATTTCACTAAACGTGGGCAGTATACAACTATTGGAGACAAGAAAAGTGACTTGGAAAAAATCCGATTTGGAGTCCCGCAAGGGTCAGTACTGGGACCATTACTTTTTCTAATTTATATAAATGATCTGACTGAATGTGATATAAAGGGTAATATGGTACTCTTTGCTAATGACACGGGTCTTTTCTATTCGGGAAATGAACAAGAAATTTTCGAAAAAGCACAAAGTGACCTATTTACCATTAGTGAGTGGACCAAAGATAGTAATATAAAACTCAACGAAGACAAATGTAAATATCTAGTCTTCAAACAAAAAGCAAAATGTGATAATTATACCCTAGTTTTAAATAACGCAGAACTCGAAAAAGTACAAAAAGCAAAGTATCTTGGCCTAACCCTAGACAGCTCTCTAAATTTTAGTGACCATGTGAACAAACTAAAAACCAAAATATCAACAATAAGCAATTATCTTCGTAGGAACTTCAAGTTATTAAACAAAATATCTTGTATATAATGCGTACATAAACTCGCAAGACAAAAGGATATAAAAACTCTACAAACCACTCAAAATAAAATTTTAGAGCTGTTATTCAACAAACCACCTAGAATATGTATAAATGACCTGTATAATGAACTAAACATTTTAAATATAAGTGAGTTAATTAAAATGAATAGTGTCAAAATAATATACAAAATTAAAAATAATTTAATTAGTACGAATGTAGAATTAACAAGAAACTGTGATATCCGAATATTTTACAAGAAACAACTCACAATACCATTTAAAAAATATGTCTACAAGAACTGGAATAACAAGAGTAACCTTAAACTTAAAATGGTTTAATGATCTTCCAGAACATAAAAACACAGCACACTCTGAAAGCTTTTTCTTCATGTGTTAAACAGTATTATATTAATATAAGAACATGATCATATTATTTGCACGCTATTTTTGTATTGTATATTTTATAATTTTTTTATATTCTATGTTAATAATTTATATTCTATATTTATATTTTATACTCATATTTTCTGTGATATGTACCTATTATGGAATCCTGTATTCTTTTTGGGTTTATTAAATAAATAATAAAAATCCCGGGATCAGTCCCGATAAAAATATAAATCTTTAATTTTAAATTTAAAATAAACGAACAAACATATAAATCTTAACAGTTTTACAAAATATAATTTAAAATTAACGATCTTTCGGACTTTACACTAGTTGTAGGACAGCCATTCCACTCTACTCGGGAATTTTTGTAGCGTCCGTTACAATTAAAAATTTTGATTAAAAGCTACCGTAATTAAATGAAATACTGTTACAATAGTTAATATTGCAAACATTTTTATTATGCTTGTAATAATTATAGACCAGTGCAGAAGCCTTTAAAAATGGTAAAAAGAGAAAAAAAATAACAGTAGGATGAAACCCATTGGAAAAGGAGGGGAATATAATAAAAATTAAAGGAAAAATAAATTACGGGCGATCTGACTTCGGGAAGTGGGAGGGGGGGGTTTAAGGGTAAAAAATGGTTTATCTCGATTTCCGGCAAAACTACAAGTCCTATGGAAAAAAGTTAAATGTCAAAGTTGTAGGTAATAAAAAGATCTATTATAATATTTTTTGCATTTTCTGAGAACATTTACCATAGTAATGTATATTTACACCATCAGAAAGTAGAGATTTCAACGAACAAAAAGCACACCGACTTTTTGAAAAAAGCTGATATTTTGACGCGAGAATGTTCGATTGAAAATTAGGGTGCTTTTTTGATATTAAGTCAAAATAAGGCGAAATAATAAATATTTCAAATCAAATAAATTACAGTGTATTTGGGACATAAAAAGATAAGTTTTCACCAAATTTCGTGGAAAAAATTTTTTTTTTTAAAAAGATAAAAATAAAAAACCAAAAACTTGGTTTTTTGAATTTTTCACATAAATTTTGAGGTTATGTAAAAAAATTGTAATTACAAAAGTTGTAGATCCTTTTATTACCTACAACTTTGCCATTTAACTTTTTTCCATAGGACTTGTAGTTTTGCCGGAAATCGAGATAAACCATTTTTTACCCTTAAACCCCCCCCCCCTCCCACTTCCCGAAGTCAGATCGCCCGTAATTTATTTTTCCTTTCATTTTTATTATATTCTTCTCCTTTTCCAATGGGTTTCATCCTACTGTTATTTTTTTTGGTTTCAAAAATTATCGTCCCTGGTCTATTAGGCTTAAACTTATAAGCATAATAATTACGGTAGTTTTACTCACAATTTTTGATTGTAACGGACGCTACAAAAATTCCCGGGTAGCGTGGAATGGCTGAGGAATGGTTTTCAAGAATTTGTAGTCAAGTTGTAGATTGTACCCACGTTTACCCTCATTAACAAGTAATTCAATTTCTTTAATCAATGATGAGTTTCATTGGAGGCTGTAAAACTTCGGAAGATTTCTCCCTCTCCTTGTGTAATGTCCGCCATCGAAACCTCCTCGTCATCGCTATTTTTTTAATTCTATCTAAGAAGTTTTTCCAATTGATGTTTAATTTTTGCGTTCAGCCTTTCCATTTTCACCTGCGGCAATATTCGGGAAATAATAAAATAATTATTCCATAATAAGGTATATTTTATTCTTTGTAACTTATTACAAAGATCCCGGGATTGGGACTTTTATCCCGGAATTTTTGGGATCGCGGTGTAATAAACTGTCGCTGTCACTGCATGTTGATATTAATGCCAACCTTTATAATCTGTGAATGACAATAGCTGTGTGATTTTTCAAAATTTTTAATTAATTTTGCCCTTGAATTATAATTTACACGCCCCTACTGAACGATGCTTTTAAGAATAATGTTTCTTATGTAATGCCTTACGTTTATATTATATAAATACGATAAAATAAATTTATAATTAATTAAGTATATACTTACCTATACCCTATACCTATGGGTACTCAATAAAATTGCTCCACACTTGCCTGGTAATTGGACAATTAAATTGTGCAAACAATGGCCAATGGTCAATGTTTGTTTAAAGGAAAACACCCAAAGTTTGAGCAATAATTATACAATTAATTGAATTAATCAATCTGTCAATAATGATATCACACTATTGTGCCATAATGGGGCAATCTTCTGCCAAATGTATTGGGTCAATTAAATTGACTCAGAAATTGACCCAATCACTTGTTTGGGTACATTTTTCGGAAACACTAATTTGTTTTATAATTTTATTTTTTAGTCATTAGTTGAAAAAGATTGGTTGGCATTTGGTCACAAATTCTCAGAGCGTTGTGGCCACATTCAAACGGACAGCAAGGAGATATCTCCAATTTTTACGCAACTTCTGGACGCGACTTGGCAACTGATGCAACAATTTCCATGCTCATTTCAGTTTAATGAGTCGTTTTTGTTAACATTACACGATCATCTGCATTCCTGCCAATTTGGCACATTTATTGGCAACTGTGAAAAAGATAGATTAGATTTAAGGTAAGAATCCGGACATTATTTTTTATTTAATATTTTTACAAAAAAAATGTTTTAGATTGAATGATAGAACGTTTTCTTTGTGGGGCTACATGGCTAAGCATTTAAGTGAATATATTAACCCATTGTATGAAGAGGATTCCAAAGACAAAATATTAATACCAAATTTAAGTCCGCAAAATATTAAGTAAGTTTTCCAGAAGCAATTTCTAAACCAATTTATGAAAAAGTATGTTTCTTTATAAATACAGAATGTAAAAATAATTAATGTGCAAGGCAAAATTATATTCGGGCATTTTTTTTAATTTAACCTAAACACCATGTATATCAATAAGGAAGCATTTTAGGACATAATATGTTCATAAAAATCTGTTTTTTTAAGTTATGTTCAGAAATTTCCATTATTTTATATCTCTGGTGTTGATGGTTAAGAAATATATAAATTTTCTTTGAATAGATTTTGGAGGGGAATGTACTGTAGATTTGAAAGTGGGGTTCACCCTAGAGAGCCGCAAGCTGATCTTTTACTAGCAACCAGAGACCACAGCTTTTCCCTAGACGATCATATAAAATATTTAACAAAGGTATGCACATACACAAGTTTAACTTAATACCAACATTATAACACCTATTTTTTAGCACATTTATTCAGTAAAATCGCTTATCACGGGCAGTAAAGAAAAGAAAAAAAACAAAATTAGTAAGGAACAATTGTGCAATAACGTCTACTTAGACAACAAACTTCTATACGAAAAAACCCAAAGAGAATCAGCTGATCACGATCATCCGCTACAAAATACCAACAAGGAAGAAAGCGAAAGTGCCGCCTCCCAAGAAGTTTCCAGTGAAGAGTTAACCAAGAGATTTGAGTCGGTTGCTATTGACTGGAAACCTCTAAGAAACACACATGAGTGTAGCTGTTCTTCATCATTTGACCATCTAAGTAAAAAGGTAAGTTAATTTTTGAATTTGAAGATTTGTGCATTTTTTTAGTTTATTCGGTGCTATCTATTTTTTATGTAAAATAAGACTAAAGACAAACCGAACACGCGAAAAAGACAAGTCCTGTGTTGTACAGTTGTATTCAATAAAAAAGCGTACAAGAATTAGAATGAGAGAAAACTGTCAAAATAATATTATTGCTTAAAACCGGCTTATCACTGACATAAGTCATTAAAATAATTACTATAGGTTATAAAGAGCATTGGCGTCGTAGGTTAATTAAATAATATTACCAAAATTATTAATTTTTAATATAGATTTTTTATTTCTATTATACCACGGTACGAATTGACCATTCTTCTTAGATTCTTGATACTATTTGAGCCTTTTAAACTGACGAGGCATTTTTATTTTCTACTGTGAGTTATAGTGACTTAAGTCAGTGGAAAGCCGGTTTTACGCAATAATGTTGACAGTTTTCTCTCATTCTAATTCTTGTACGCTTTTTTAATGAATACAACTGTACCGCAATGTAACCGTCATAAATGTGTTTTACTTAAGTCTGAAAAAGGATTTTGGCAAATTTGGCACGTGTTAACCATCCTGTTGCCTTATTTTGCTAACCAATTAGTATTTAAGATTAGAAAATGAGTTTCGGGAATTTACACTTTTGCAATTTGACAATTGGATTGCATCTGACATCGAAAAAATCTAAATTTCCGGCCCTTTACACACTTTTTAAAGATAAAATAAATCGTTTTATCTCGGTCGGACAAAAAGTTTAAAGACAAAAAATGTATAGCTCGTATATAAATAAATTACTGACCACACCCCTGGCATATATTTTATCTTAGGTTGGAAGCAAGTTTTCAATGCTTATTGGATGGATTTGTGAGGCACATGCGCAAATGTTCCCAATTTCTCAATTTAAAGGCAGCATCTCTCTTTTAAGGCAAGACGACAAACTTTTAGGATAGATAGATGTCCAAAAAATAAGACGGTTCAATATATATATATATTATTATACAAGGTGTCCCTAAACTTAGTGGCATAAATTTGGGAGCAGATTAAGCAAGTCAAAATAAGACGAAAATCTAAATAAATATTTTTCCTAATTAGGTATGTTTAAAAGATACAGGGTGATAAAGTTTACTTATCATATCAGTTTTTTTAATATAACTTCCACTATGGTAGACGTGGAAAGGTGATATTTTGAGAACAGTCACTTACTACCAAAATACATATTCACACATAATAACAATTGTTCGAGTGAACGCAGTGTCGTAGAAACAGGGGTTGCTTAAGCTTATTGTCCCATACAAACTTTGAGGTTAGGTTTTTATACCATTTGATGCATTTTTTCGATTACTCAGTTCGTCTACTATTAAAAAGGTATACCTCTCAAACTTCGATAAAATAAACCGTTTCCGAGATATCCGAGATTACTATAATTGTTATATCGCATTAAAGGACTAAAAGGTATATGATAACAAATTTTTAATTGAAAAAACTACAATTTTTTTAATGTGACGGTCAGGGCAAAAAGTCTCGAGGCTCATGGAATGCCGTTTTTTAGTTTTTTCAATTAAAAAATAAAATTTGTTATCATATACCTTTTAATCCTTTTAAATAATGCGATATAACAATTATTGTAATCTCGAATATCTCGGAAACGGTTTATTTTATCGAAGTTTGAGAGGTACACCTTTTTAATGGTAGACGAACTGTGTAATCGAAAAATTGTATCAAATGTTATAAAAACCTAACCTCAAAGTTTATATGGGACAATAAGCTTAAAGCAACCCCCGTTTCTACGACACTGTGTTCACTCAAACAATTGAAATTATGTGTGAATATGTGTTTTGGTAGTAAGTGACTGTTCGCAAAATATCACGTTTCCAAGACTACCAGAGTAGAAGTTATATTAAAAAAACTGATATGATAGGTAACACTTTATCACCCTGTATCTTGGAAACATAATTAATTAGGAAAAATATTTATTTAGGTTTTCGTCTTATTTTGACTTGCTTAATCTGCTCCTAAATTTATGCCACTAAGTTTAGGGACACCTTGTATATATTAGACTGGGCCAAAAAAATCAACTATTTTTTTTTTTTTGAAAAGTATATCGAAAATATGGTTTAGGGCGACAAAAAAAAATATTGTAAAAGTTTGAGTCCATAATATTAATATTAAGAGGTCTAGCATCGCAATTTTAATTTTTTTTTTCCCTCATCAAGTTTTTGTCTCAGAACTCCCAAACCATTGAGTTTAACAAAATTTACTTGAAAATATTTTTTTAAGAAAATTAAATTCCGTACAAAAAAAGTTAAATGAAATTTTTTGTCAGATGAACCGTTTCCTTAAAATCATGCCCTAAACATTGGTATAGTTTTACATTTTGATCTTTTAACTTTGGAATTTTGTAATTCATATAAAAATCAGTACCCAGAAAAAAACCGATGAAATTCTTATGGGAAATCAAATGCTCTACAAAAAAATTCTTCTAACATTTTTGGCTAAATTCACTCCATCAAAAGTTATTCAATGTTAAATTTGACAAGAATTTCGTTTTGACTTCAACTCCAATTTTTATCTCCTTATTGGTCATACAAAGTTTGATCAATTCCCAAAATTTTACGTTTGAATCTTGAACGGTTTTGGAGAAATAAATAAAAACCATCTTCAGGGGCTCCTCTTTCGGGGGCTTCCTTAGGAAGAATTTCTAGACCTATGTTTATAGGAATTTTTTTCTTATTTTTGTACGTAGAATCTGCTGTTGCACGTTAATTATGGGACACCCTATATATATATATATATATTAGACTGGTTCAAAAAAATCGAATATTTTTTTTCTTCAAAGCCCGCATTGAAATATCTTCCTAGTAGTGAAAAAAGAAGCCTCTGAAAATTGTAGCTCTTAATATTAATATTTAGAGGTCGCTCATCGTGAATTTCTATTTTACGTTTAAATAACACAGGAATTCTTTTTTCTTAACTTTGAAATTTTATAACTCGTTTTTGAGTGAACATATTGGAATGAACTCTATATATTTTTGAATAAAATTAAACGTTCTACAAAAAATGTCTCTTATAATTTTTTCGTAAATTCACTCCTTTAATAATTATTCAAGGTTGAAATTAGACATATAATAAATGTAACGTTTAAATAACACAGGAATTTTTTTTAACTTTTAATTTTATAACTTTTTTTTTTGAGTGGACATATTGGAATAATTTCAACCTTGGATAACTATTAAAGGAGTGAATTTACGAAAAAATTATAAGAGACATTTTTTGTAGAACGTTCAATTTTCTTTAAAAATATATAGAGTTCATTCCAATACGTTCACTCAAAAACGAGTTATAAAATTTCAAAGTTAAGAAAAAAGAATTCCTGTGTTATTTAAACGTAAAATAGAAATTCACGATGAGCGACCTCTAAATATTAATATTAAGAGCTATAATTTTTACAGGCTTCTTTTTTTACTACTAGGAATATATTTTAATGCGGGCTTTGAAGAAAAAAAAATATACGATTTTTTTGAACCAGTCTAATATATATATATATATATATATATATATATCGCCGTCGTCATAACTTTATTTGAAAAATAAAGGTGTATTGAACAAACTTATCTTCAGTCGCTACACCTTTATTTGTGCAGTCACCACACCTTTATTTAAAGATAAAGGTTTGGTGCCGACAGGCGCTGTCGCTGCACCTTTATTAAAGTTAAAGGTGGGGTGAATGATGTTGCCACATAAAATTCCGCCACCCTAAAAGTTTGGCCAAGTTTGATGTTTTATAACTTTTTTATTTTTTATCCGATTTTCTTAATTTTTCTACCAGTTTGTAGATACATTTATTGTTATTGTTTTTTTATCATTTTAATAACTAACAATTTTTGTTTATGCGATATTATACAGGGGTAAATAAATGTTGTTTTTTGTCATAATTTTAAAACACCCTGTGGGAAAATTGAGGCCGTTAATTTTTTTACAAACTGTTTGATATAATCTTAGATGTATTCCAAACATTTTGTTTTTTAATTCATTCCATTATTGCATTTCTTGTACGAGCTGCAAGTTTTTTAATGAAACGCTTAAAATTTTACTGTATTGGTCCAGATATTAAAAAATAATCGACGAGGGCGATTGTTGTGATAGAATGTTTGACAGTTACATTATTAATTTGAGTTGTCATCATGGTATTAACTAAAGCAGACTTGGGTCGAATTGTTGCCTTAATAGAGGATGGCCGAAGTAAAAGTTATATCGCTCTTACTCTGAGAATTCCGCGGTCTACAGTTCGAGATGCTTGGAATAGGTATATACAGACGGGAAACTTTTCTAGGCGGCAAGGCTCTGGAAGAAGGAGATTAACTACTACAGCTGATGATCGCTTCGTCGTTGTTAGTTCTTTAAAAGATCGACAAACTACTGCTGTATCTCTAAAAAATAATTTGCAAATGGTACGTAGTGAAAGACCAGTACGTAGAAGATTGGCAGAAGCAGGGCGTCATTCAAGGAGGCCAGCAATATGTCCATAATTACTTCCTCGGCATCGACAACAGCGACTGAGATTTGCAAGAACCCATTCTGACTGGACTGTAGAAAAGTGGGGAAACGTAATATTCACAGATGAATCCAGGGTTTGTTTAAGGTCGCCGGATGGTCGTGAGCGGGTATATAGACGCAAAAATGAAAAATATGCCGACTGCACCATATCAGAGCGAATATCATATGGCGGTTCAGTCATGGTTTGGGCAGGTATTTCTAGCGAAGCACGTACCGATCTTATATTTGTTGATAATGGAACTTTAAGCGCCCACCGTTACATTGAGAATATTCTTTCATTGGGAACGAATTTATATTAATGCATGATAATGCTAGACCTCACGTTGCACGGGTAGTGAGCGAATATCTGGATGAGGTTGGACTTCCAAGATTGGAATGGCCGGATCTCAACCCTATCCTGGATCTCAACCCTATCGAACATTTGTGGG